CACTTCCGCAAGGGTAGCGCACAAAAAGGATGCAAGATCAGACGACAAAGTCGATGTCCCAACCGCACCATTTCAACAGTTGGCTACCGATTCCGTGATTCTTGCCATGGGCGATGAACACCTCGGAGTAGGTTTCGGTGGAATCAAATCTCACCATGTAGTACGTGATGTTTTCTCAGGCGTTCGACTTGCCTACCCTGTGAGTAGGCGGGACACGCAAGCGCATGTCAAAAACTTCCGTCAGTTCATGGGCCTTCGGGCCACTGATTCGCCGCCAACGTGTCTAGTAAAAATGGATGCAGCAGGAGAGCTCGAAGGAGCGGCCCACGAAGTCGGTCTCGTCCCCGAGACAAGCTTACCGAACAGGTGGCCACACAACACCGTTCTGGAGCGCGACATTCGCGAAGAGAAGGAATGCTGCCGCAGCATCCACATGCAATCAGGGTTGCCTTATTCGTTGCATACGTTTAGTTACCCATTTGCATGTCTCTCCATGTCGTTCGACAGGCCTGCACCATTCAGCCCAGGGAAAACCCAATGGGAAGCCCTCACCAAAGAAAAGTTCCAAGGGAAGAGATGCTGTTTCGGGCAATTAGTTTGGTACAGAACCAAGACTCCTGGCAAGCGCACTCTCGATCCGAACATGGCGCCAGCGCTCTTTTTGGGTTGGAGGGTCGATCCGGGGTTGCGGTATCGTAATGTGGTCAAAGTCATGGACTATGAAGCCTTCCGTAAAGATGGTTCCATTTCCGTTCACGATGTTCCTGAACCGGAATTGTTCGTTGAGGACGGAACCCCAAGCTTTCCGATTGCAGCAGCAGCAGATAGAGCATTGCATGGTGGCAAGACAGAAGGGTCTGATCCCCCACCTATGCCCCTGCGAGAGGCGCCCTTTGGTGCCCCACCGACTCCATCCGCTGCCAAACCAAAATCCGTGTACATAACTGTTGAGAGGATCATCAAGTTCAAGGAAACGCCAGGTTGCCGTGCATGCACCGGTCATTCCAAGATTCACAGTGTCGACTGCAAGAAGAGGTTCTCCGAACTTGTCTCTGCAGATCGAGCTGAAGCAGCTGCAAAAAGCGCTGCCAAAACTGAATCTAAGGAACCCATTCCCATTGTGCATACTGAAGGGGATGAGGAGCTAGCTAGAGCAATCCACGCATCCGAGCATGGAGAGGATCCTAAGCCCGCAGTTAGTGCAGAAGATGTTGCGCATGAATTTGATGCAGCCGAAGCTGGGGAGCCCGCTCCCTCAAGACCCGGTGGCTCATTTTTCGATACTGCGCCAGCGACAGCCGCTACATCGCAAGGTGAAGATTTTTGGGTGTTCAAAGAAAATGCCAACTGTTTGGTCCGATACCATATCATGCCAAGGCAAAATCTCTTTACCCCAAAAGAGGTCGAGGATTGCCCCGTTTCCCCAGAAAGATTTACTGCAGCTCGCACCACTCGTGCCGTGTTTCAGGGGGGCAAAGCAGACAACATCCATGATGGTTGGTTTGGTAGCCGACCCAATCGCTCACTTGGAGATGCATGGACCGGGTTCACAGTGTTCAAGTTAAAACCCATTCAGTCCGATTGTGTTATCACCACAGGTGCAGCCGTGATGTTAGACTCCGTACCGCCGACACCTCTCACCGATGCATCAAAGAACGGTCGTCCGAACACATTGCCAATTTTCGGCATGCCATGCAGCGCAGAGGTTGAAGCTCCACAGCGCAAGCAGTTTGAGGTTGGAAATCATCGTGCCCGCAAGAAACAGGCGCGTATTGACAAGTTGCCTGTGATGTTCGAATACGCATGTTCACCAGAGTCCAATATGGGTCGCGTGTTTGAAGGTCTTGGCATACCTCATGTTAGGCTGGCTAAAGAGTTTATCGACCTCAGCACAGATGAAGGAGAAATCCAGTTGCAGTCGCAGATTGAAGGTTGTGATAAACCCAACCTCTGGGCCGCAATCCCCTGTACATCAGGTTCAGCATGGCAACGCCTTAATAAGGCCAAGTTAGGAAGCCAGTTCAAAAAGAAACTGAAGCAAAAAGTTAGAGAGTCGAGAGAGTTGTTCTCCAGATTCAGACGTCACGCAGAGACTGTCCTCCATCAGGGGGGTAGTGTTTCGTTTGAGTGGCCAAGGGATTGCGACAGCTGGGCTAGGGATGATGTTTCCGCATTCTTTAGAGAATATGCACACGTCTTCACCCCAGCGACCTTCCATGGTTGCGCCCTAGGCCTGAAGGACAGCAATGGCTATCCCATCAAGAAGCCATGGAAAGTCATGACCAGCAATAGCACACTCGCGTCCGCACTAGGTGCATTCAAGTGTCCGCACGAAAAAGGGTATAAACATTCGCTTGCAGCAGGTAACAAGACCGCAAAGACCGCTTTCTACCCCGAAGGCATGTGTCTCACAGTTGCCCGTGCGCTGTATCCAACAGTTCAACCCGTTGTGCCTGCGATGCCTGTCCAAGTGCCATTGCCTCTCGATCACCGGGAACGTGAACAGCAGTTGAAGCACATATCCCCTCTCTCTGGTTTGGAAGATATAGGTGTTGCTGTTGAGTCAGATGAAAAGTGTCACAACATTCTTGAGCAAGTTCTTGATGTTGAAAATCTCATCGCACATTCCCTAGGACAAGTCACAGAGAAGAAGGATCCTGAGATCACCGCAATGGTGACCAGACTCTTGTCACGTGCCGAAATGTTGGCTTCCCCGGAAGCTCTTGAAGCCGTTCGACTTGAAGCCACAGGCCTGGAGAAAGCCGGTGCCTGGGATCTAAATTCAGTCCGAGAGTACGATCAAGTCGCTGCTGAGGCGCGACGATCCAGTATAAAAGTCCATTTCGGGCAGTTGATGTCGCTAGCATCCGTCAAGTTCGCCGAACTCGCGAAACACCTTCAGAAGATGAAAGGTAGGATTGTGTATCGCGGAGACTGTGCGAAAGACGAACATGGCGCAGCAGCTGTCTACCAAGAGTTGGGAGCAAATCCCACGAGCGTACAAGGTCTTAATAACTGTCTCGCTTATGGATCCCTGCCAGGGAATTCCACCACAACAGCGGACGCTATAAAGGCTTATGTGCAAGCACTGCTGAAGTCCAAGTACCAAACTTGGATCACACTCCCGCCTGAGCTCCGGCCAAGGTGGTGGCGCGAGCGTTTCGTGAAACCTGTGGTTTTGCTCGTTAAAGCTCTTTATGGGCATCCTGACGCTGGCGGACTCTGGGAGGCACACCTCAAAGGGTTCATTAGTGAACTTGGAGGGCGTGAGGTCGCAGAGTTTCCTGGAAACTTCTGGTTCAAGGAGTCCGGGTTACTTCTCTCGACATACGTCGACGACTTGACGTTGGCCGGCCCCAGCCACCTTCATAAAGACTTCTGGGAAAAGTTAACAAGATTGGTTGATATAGAACCCCCAGAAGATATATACCGGGTGCTAGGCAGGAACCACCTTTTGATAGATGCTCCAAAGGACCCAACTGAACCCGATCTTAATGCCGCAATGGGCAGATTGAAAAGGGGCATGGCGTTCGACATGCGGGATTATGCCCGTCAGACGGTGGCATTGTATCTTGAGGTTGCACAGCTAAAAAGTGAAAAGTTGCGTGATGCCACCACTCCATTCTGTCCCGCTGGATCCCTCGATCCTGCAGATGACGCCTTGGAGGGTGAGCTCGGCTTCGCTGCTTGCCGCGTGTTGATGAAAGCCTTGTGGCTCGGCCGTTTGGCACGCCCAGACCTGGTCAAGCCCATTGGCGACCTTGCCTCATTTGTTCAAAAATGGTCTAGAAACTGCGATAAGCAGCTACATAGGCTTGTTTGCTACATAAACAGCACGGTCAACAGCACGCTAGTAGGCACAGTCCAAGATTCGACTGAGGATTTGCATCTGTCCCTTTATGTGGACGCCGATTTCGCCGGAGAGCGAGATGCAAAATCCACGTCCGGAGGATTCTTGATTTTGAGTGGTCCGCACACGCATTTTCCGCTTGCGTGGGTATCCAAAAGGCAGACATCGGTCTCTCGATCAACGACCGAGGCGGAGATTGTATCTCTCGCATACTCCCTTTATCAGGAAGCGCTCCCTGCGCTAAGCTTGTGGGAGCTGATCTTGGGCCGACCATTCCATCTCAAGATTCACGAGGACAACCAGGCGACTATCCTCGTAGCAAGGAAAGGTTTCTCATCCAAGCTACGCTGTGTCCAGCGAACACACAAGGTGAACCTCGCGTGCATCGCAGAGCAGCTTGAAAGCGAACACATCTCGATAGAATACGTCCAAACCGACATGCAGTCAGCGGACATCTTCACGAAAGCACTTCCACCCAACAAGTGGGACCATGCCATCCGGTTGCTCGGCATTCGTGTTGACCTTCCAGAGAAGCTTGAAGACGTTCGTGAAAGTAGGGCCGCTAAAGCAGCTGCCTAGTGCGCTGCAGCATGTCCGCAAATTTCCAAAGTGTGCAAAGTGCCTGGGTGATGCTTGAATAACTTGTGTCAGTCGTTGTGATGTAAACTTGACTTCAAGTTGGCGTGGTAATGCGCCCAAGACACTCCCTCAGTGCCGTCAATGAGGGGGGAGTCAATTATCACGATGACATTATGGCCCAGAGGTACATGAGGTAGGTTCTCATGTAGTCAGTTGCATGTTGTACATTCAAGTGGTTGCCAAAGCATGATCCAATCACTGCTTTGGCTCAAGTGCTGAAAACAGCGCGTTGCACCGCGCTAGCCCCAAGGTTAAGGGAGAGGTCGCAGTCACGGAGGGGTTCGTTCCTTTTAAGGTCCTGGGTTCCCCCGTTGTTGACAAAACTGTGTTTCCCTCTCCTTTGAGTCCTTTTCTCTATATATTCTCCGAGAATCTTCCGGACCGCACGGAAGATTTTCAACCCCAAACAGGATTAGACGAAGTTTCTGCCCCAGAATGTCTGAAGGATATCTAAAGATGCTCCACCCCAAACAGGGTTACTTCAACACATCCACCCCCCGAGTGCTTGGAGGACCCTTTCGCGAAATTTGTGGAGAGCGTCTTCGGTCTCTTCTTCGTACTGGTCTTCATTTGGCCGCTCACGCGGATCATGAAGAGCCTGGTCGAGGACAAGGAGGCACGAAGATTGCAGAACGAAGACTTCCATGTGGTTAAGAATATGTTTTTATCTTCCCCTCTTGGTTTCAAAGGGAACCGATTTCACTGCAGGAAACATATTTTCCTTTATTTTTTCCAGGGGACTCCGCAGAACGCTGTGGGTCAAAACCAATGGTACCATTTTGGGATAGGTGCACCACCCATTTTAGAACCTATTTTAGTGGTTGGATCGTGA